CCCGCCCAACCAAACAGTGGTGGCTGGCTTCTTGAATTCTCCCTTCTCCTTCCATAATTGTAGCCCCTCAATTACTATAGCCTCCGTACCGCAGTTGAGACTTGACTTGGCCTTAAGCCTTAAGCTTTGTTGGTCACACATAAAAATTGGCTCATCACTTGTTGGATAACGTCGATGAACTTTTATTGATTCAATGAGGGTACAAGTGATGACGACATCAACTGAAATGAAATGGATGACACAAGACAGTGATATCTATAGAACAGAATGAAATGATGGGTGTTCGCACTGACAAATGAAACTACACGCACGAGTCCCCTAGGAACGCAGAGTGATTATAATGATAGGGCCTTGAACTGAATAGGAGTAGTAGGCCTACTAATAATACAGTTACAACACACATGCTGACGCTGTTCAGATATCGACGGTTCTGCCTAACACTCAATGTCATGTCTTTGAAGTGAAGATCATATCTGGCGTCATACGGTTCTCAACGACAAAGTGAAATGAGCGCTCGATGCGACCACGATTACACTGTATTTGTCCTCGATTTCTCTGGCTTTGACAATAGCAAAGGCCAGACAGAGGTCGAGGGTCACAAATATCTTGTATGGGACGACACTATGCCACTTGTTCGGATTCTTTATCGCGGTCGTCAATCCGGCCCTCCTCAGTTGCCCCCGTCCCAGGCTTCACGGATCGACAACTTCGTTCTGGTGGCCGTTGATCCGCCTGGCGTCGTCGGCCCCCTGACGACTCATTGATATGTTCCTTTATAAATATAAAGACTACAGGCGATCCCATAGAGAAATAAGTGGCTACAAATTTTTTGAAATATCCCTCGCGATCGTCATAGGGAATGCCTTTCAAGATTGGCGGCCCATGATGCGGAGACACCAATAGAAGACCCGAAAGGTAGCCAGAGGAAAAAACTATTAGAATAGCTAAATCACTTCACTTATATTATACGTTTTTGGAAACATTTTTTCGTGATCTATTATTAATGATCATTAATACGACCTTGTCTCAGCTGGATATTCACAATACTGCTGCACTGTATTTATGTCTTTAACAGCAGGAGCCATTTCATCACATAAACAGGTGTCGTGTTATGAAGCTTCAGAAGATGTCTTCTACATGCATGTACACTGTACCCAGGCCTGACAAATATAGTTTTTGCCAGAACTACAGCATTACATATGCCTGAGAGAATGATGTTTTTGCCTCAACATTTACTCTAGTACTCCACCTGCGTGCTTGAATGTGGTATCCCACCCGCTTGGGTTGGCACTGCCACTCAAGGTCGGAGCATACTAGCAACCAGATCTCTGACCGTCTAGTGGTGTAACCATTTACAGTCCTTAACAATAAACAAACATCCTCGGAGGGAGACGGTGTGTTTGGTTTAAATCCTACCTTCCCTCAATCTCCGAGCCAAGATGTGAGAGCAAATAGTAGGTGATTCTTCTGATTCAGTATAACTAGCCTTTTTTTACCAACCTATCCCTAAAGAAGTGTGACTGGTATCGTGAGAATCTCAATGGATTACATGCTTTTGCGATTATAATAATAACGAATATTTTGTAAAATTGTAGATGTTTAAGTAAAAATCGACACAATTTTAATCCGTTAAGAGGTAGGCTACTTTGACCCTGCCTGTTAGGACTAGCCCGGGCCGAAAGGGGTATCATGTCCGAGCAGACAGACGGAGACATTCGAAGAAAAAAACTTCCTACATGGGAATCGAACTCATGTTTTCTGCATGTGATGATTATAATATGTGCCTATAACTGCTACATCACTGGTGTTGGTTTACATGCTATCGGCAACCCAACAACTTTGAAATTGTCTTTAAAACAAAGCAGACATTATTTAATGCTTGTAATAATACGATTTTATGAGCGCATGTTTGAAATTGTATGTTCTGTACTTGTTCACTTGGGCTTTGCGGTAGGCCTGTCATCACACCCTGGAAGGGGTTGGCGGGGGGAGATGGAGGTGGGGTTCTATTCAGAGGGCAAGAGCAAAGTACAACCAAGCATTAACAGGATGTAGCCACACTGTTGCACTGCTCAAACCACAGTCAGTATTATAGTATAATTATACAGCACCCACAATGTTTATATTATGTATGCACAGGGCAAAATAAGTGAGCCTCAGTTATATTTTCAGCTGCACTCTCAAATCTTGTCCATCCCCATTCCAGTACCTCCATTAAATGTACGCATGCATGCATGCCCGCACACACACACAAAAATCTCTTTCCCACCACCCCCAACCACAAACACACTCCATACAAACACACCACGAAAGCATACACAAATCTCGACTGTCAACACGGTCTATAAAGTGTGAAACAAGGCAAAAGTATCAGACATTATAATATAATTATCACGTGATGTATTTGCTTCTGCATTAGATAGAAAAAAAGACTTCACACATTTTGGCAGGGACAAGAAAACAGACACATATAATATGACACCTTTGGTTCTGCATTCAAAAAGAGTTTTCAAAGATTTTTAGGATAAAATTTGAGCAGAATAATAACATTGTAAAGAAATGACACACATAATACTGACAGGTGTATAATAAATATTTAGGAACTTCCTAAATATAATACAAATCTGTGTAATCACTGTTTAAAAATTCCTGAACAGCCAGTTTTGTTTTTTGTAATGGAGAGAATAGGTTCAACAGTGTTGTCATCAATCCTTGGTGATCTTTCTTTCTCGAGAGACAGCTAGCCTCATCAAAATGCTGATGGTACTTAAGGCAGAGAGATGATTTATCACAGTATTGCTCAGCAATGTTTGTGTCTCACACACACACATACAAGATCTGCAAAAGTAAGTCCCAACAATTACTGTGCAGTTTGACAATTACCGGTAGTTAGCAAAGTAGGCTGAAAATGAATTCATCACAAATTCTCTGCAATCTGTTCCATTTTGATTTTTGAATAATTTTTCCATTGGGAGTATAATATTAAAGCAAAATGCAGGATTCAAGCACACATTTAAATTGTCACATGCAGCCGGAACAGGCAAGAGAGTGTTGAATGTTTACAGCTGTTACAAACAATAGAAAAAATATAATGAAAACTAAAGCTAGAGAAGAAAAAATCTGGCTACAAGATGTTTTAAATGCCTTTTACAATAATCCAAAAAAAAAAAAAAAAAGGAAATAAAGTTTGAATAAAAATTCACCCACACACAAAATGGAACCCCACGGTAATAAACGTACAATAATTCAACAGTTCTTGAGATTAACAACAAACACATAGAATGCACTGTACATCAACAAAATTATAACATTACGATTACGGTATAATAGCCTCCTTTTTTTCCTCAAATAATTGAAATACCAGTTTAGAAATATGGTTATCTTTCCAGAGTTAACAAATAATTATTGTAATTCAAAGTGAGCAAACGTTATTACACTTGAAATTTTTTATAAAATGTCATGGCTCTGGCATCTTTCTTCAACACAGTTAAGGTACACTACTATTATAACATTCCCTAAAAAAAAGAACAGGAATTTGTGATATGGCATGGCAATGAAGAAAATGAAAATTTGTGTTAAATTCTGAATGATCACTCAGCCTAGTAAACCTTGTCATGAAGTCATTTTGCTAAGAAATAAGTCTGCTTTTCCTTGTCCAGGAGAAAGAAACTTGAGGTTCCATTTTATATAAATCTGGATAAAAATTATACGCATGTGTTTCAATTTCATCAAGTTTGGCAAGGTAACAGTAGACTTTTGCATGGGTGGGTGGAGGGTTGCTGGTAAGTTCTACTTCTTAATTAGCCTTTCACTGTTTCTGTCTCTCTCTTTTACTGTTTAAAACACTATATTTTGTTGATAAGCTTCTTTTTATTTCAAACTATCTCTTACTTTCATTATCTGGATTGAGTTAGTATCAGTGGTTCCTTTAGCTTTATACCACAATCATAACATTTGACAATAGCTGAAATCTATCACTGACTATCCGTTTTAAAGTAGACAGATACATTGTTTAGAGTTTTATCTTTTCGGTCTGTATAGAAAATTCCCATTCCCAGGATTATGAAATCCATCTCTATATATTAGTGTTTCAGTGCCTATAAATGGCAGACCAAGAAGACCAAGAAGACCAAGAAAGACCTGGCTGGATGGGGTTAAAAAGGTCCTGGAACAACATAACATATCTATCACAGACGCTACACACCTAGCACAGGAACGAAACTTGCACCTCCTTTCAACATCCTAAGGATACCAGAGGAAGGAAAAAGTGAAAGTGAACGGGCAGCTTACACTGTACGCTTCCAAGGAAGTTGGAATTTTTTGAGAATGCTATTAGGTCTGCTGAGGTAATAATAGTATAGATTGGAAAGCACCTAGAGCTTGCTGTTGGGTAGGAATTTGCATGAAACAAATGCTATCCATTATTATTATTATTTGTTCTCAGTTATAAAACCCTTTACAATGTCAAAAGACATGCCAATGTGGAAAACAGGCATAATACAACAACAAAAACAATAACAAAAAACAACAACAAATAAAGCAGTCCACCTCTTTCTAAAATAGTTTATAAGAAGCAAGGAAAAGGAAAAGGGTGGTGGTGCCCGAATAAATAGCAATGAGTAGTTGAATAGTCACAGCCTCGATGAATATAATGTACAGCAAATGTTCAACAAGAATGACTCCAAGGGGAAAAAAAGAGAGAAGAACATGAAGGTAAGTATAGTTTTTCTATATAAGTAGGAGAAGTTTTTCTATATAAGTAGGAGAAACAGATTAACCAATGGGGAGAAAAATGACCTCTTTATATACAAGGTAATAAATTCTCTTTAAAATTCATCTTCGGTGGTTTGGAATCACAGTTCGTAAACTCTTATATTGTGGCTTCTGCAGCCTGGACAAATACTGACGCAAACTAGTTTCATATCAAAATCCTAGTATTTCTTTACTTCTGAGGGATCTAGTTGTGGTATTGTTGTTGCAATGGGCTTTGCTGGTAGCCAAGTGTCTAGTTTCTTGACCGCCTCAATGTCTTCCTGCCTTTGTTGTCCTTCTGTCTTTTTGGGGTAGGATTCTCTGAGAACACATTCAGCACAATGTATTAAGACAATTGTTCATCAATAGGTAAACATAATCAATCTTCAGCCTGTATAACACATGTCTTACATATATAAGTAATTTCACTTTACCAGCAAGTCATGAATACTGTTTCAATAGGCCTAATTTGTTAGCACTTAATTCATATTTTAAATATTTTTACGAATCCATAACAATTAGTGATCTCTTTATGGGATCTGGTGAGGCTAGTGTTTTGCTACACGAATGAATTCAGTCGATTAGCCTGACACTTCTGGCTCGAGGGGATTTCTGCACATGCTCCATATTCTCTCTCTCTCTCTCTCTCTCTCTCTCTCTCTCTCTCTTTCTTTCTCTCTCTCTCTCTCTCTCTCTCTCTCTCTCTCTCTCTCTCTCTCTCTCTCCCCTCCCCACACCCGTCTCTCTGCTCAAATACAAAATTGCTCGCTTTCAACTCAGCACTGGTACGTTTGTTCACACTCGAATCATGGGTTGTCACGCGCTAAACAAGGTCTCGCCCAAATCTTGCTCGGACGCGAGATAGGGCTATTGAAAGATCAAGGTACATGTACAGTAGTCTCTGCCTAAATGCACGGTGCTCGGGAGGGCTCCTTAGCGTGTGTATATAATACGGAGCATGCGTTACATGAACCTTTGCAAAGGGAGGAAGGGTCGCAGTGATTTCATTGCCTTGGTATTCTAGAGACCTCCCTTTGGGGTGGGGTCACTTTGGGCCGATAATGTGACGACAAGTGACTGTTTTCTGAAGGATTCCTCGACTGCAGTTAAGAACACAAAGGCGTTGAATGGGGCAAGGTAATGAATGCACCATAAAATGTCAGGAACAGATAGCCTAAGAGGATAGTGTTGGTGAGAGTCATAGAGACGACGGCCTAGCCACGTGGCTTTTAAAGTGACCACCCCCGACCGTAAACTCATGGACGGCATCAGAATCATAGATCTCTACATTCAGATAAGCATTTCTCTTGTCATTCGTTGAACAAGTACGTTATAAGTTCTTCGAGCGCAGCTGATTAAGCTTACTTGACTAATCTTTAATTCTATAGAGCCCTTCTCTTGTGTTTTACAGCATTTACACGTGTTATGCATCATAGGCCTAGGTCTAACTAAACATTACTGAAACACCAGTCTGAAACCTTCTCTTAAAGGTGCTTTTCCAGACACCAATCTAAAAACATTTCAGTCACCTACCAGCTCGCACCCCTCCTATCTCATCCAAACATCTCCATGGACACAAAGAGACAGCTTATCATCTCAATATTCATACCAACATTATGTTATCAGTGCCAGACCTGGACTTTAAGCAAAACCCATGAAAGCAAAATCACTGCATGTGAAATGAAAGGTCTCCGCAAAACCCTTAACATCACAAGACGAGACAGGCAGAGAAATAAAGAAGTAAGAGCAGCTATCGGCACTGAGTCCTGCCTGTGTTACATAGAAAGACAGATAATAAAATGGTTTGGCCACCTGTTACGCATGTCACCTGGCCAGCCAGCCTCGAGAGCCTCCAACACCAAGAACTCAGGCTATAAAGGAAGAGGAAGACTACACAAAAGGTGGATCGAGGGTGTCAAGGAAACCCTAAGAAAACATAACATCACAACAGAAAGAGCTGCGGAGCTGGCCTACCATAGAAAACTGCATCTTCCCTCGACCCTCAACGACAACAGAGGATGAAAAAGAAAAGAAGAAAAAAAAAGTCCTAGACCTATGTGTCTGTGGAAAGTTGGGTGTGAAAATGCTGTCCATCACTCTCTTTATTCGATGTGAGGGGCAGTCTCATCAAATAAGTAGTAGGGAATCTTTGATTTAGTCAACTCGTGAAGGAAACCCCAGAAGACGACAAAAATAGATGGCAGAAATACTGATCTATGCTTTGGGCCAATCACAGAGGTGTGCTTAGTACTAGGTGCTCTCTATAGTATAGCTTCATGTTGCTCCGAAGGCCGCGAGACCGTGTTTATGCTACCAAGTAGAGATCAAGATGTCCGGCTCCGGGTGGGCAGAAAAAAGCTAGCCACCCGAGAAATTGCAGAAATCCACACAGGCCAGTAGCGTCAGGCTAATCAACTGAATTAGTTCGAGTAGCAAAATGCTAGATTGCGTACTTAAATACCCTCCATAGACCCCCCCCCCCCTTAGAAAATAAGAGAAAGCAAAAGCAAAAGTGATGATGTGTCAAAAGCTTGATGTGTCAGGTATTTGACAGGAAAATAGAAATCTCTGTGGATGGGATATGATGCTCATACACAATCACGTAACAATCTGGAAATCTTGGAAAAGCTATAATATCAAGTTCCGTTGATATCATGTTTAACGGCGGAGCTGGTGATCCTATTTTTTCTGATCCTATCCAGGGCATTCATTTGTAAGCTCCGACTGTCTGGACAGTTTTTAACAGGCTCTCCTTGCCTTCGTTTGGCTATGTCCTTTGGAGATGAACGTCAAGAGTAATCATAGCGCTTCTGGTAAGACCAAGTAACCCACAAAATATCAATTTTCAAAATTATTTCATGAATGGATAGTACAAAATATAGGTTACCCATTTCATATACTCAGTCAAAGACAGGTCTGAAATTTGACTACAAATTCTCTGAAAACATAAAAATAAACCCAAACAACTGTGCTGCATGGTGAAACCAAATGAGGTTCTTGGTTCCTCCTGTAAAATCTACTCCACTTGGTTAGCCGCACCTATCACATGACCAGTCTTACCTTTTAACCTGAGGCAGTGGAACAAGAGGCACAAATGTGTCAGGCTTTCCCCTTACAACAGGAGCATAAGGTGAATTTCCCATGCTGAAATGTGGAACACAGCAAGCAAACGTGTGGCTAGTTAGACATTTTTTGTTAGAAAGTGAGAAGAAAACTATAGTGAAATCTCAAATTTGTGCAAGAGTGTTTTTAAAAAAACAAACCCCCCCCAAAAAACTCCCCTAAAAAACAACAGATGTGACGTGCTAAAGGTGACTTTTTTTAAAAGATTCAAAATAAACACAAGAAGACCACAAAAGTGAATGCTACAATTTAGTGTGTGAATAAAAAACTAAGACCTGATCTGTTTTTGGTAAATATCATCAATCAGTCTGAAACCTTGATAAGTACAGGAAGTTAACATGACACTAATGACGATCCAGTTTGTTGCTGATATTATCAATCCAGAACACTTATTACAGAGCCCCCATGGTCTCTTCCCAACAACTCAAATTTTGAAATTAATTTTCAATCTATATGATACGATTTTCATGAGTCTTGTCCATGAACACAAGTTCAGAAACCTTATAAAATTGGGGAAAAACATCAAGTTATCTTTTTTCAGATTGCCCAAATCCCAAACTGTCATGTAACATATCTCACTATATATAGATCTAATTGGATGATTTTTCTCTCACACAGATTGAAGTAGCAGTCATGACTCAAAAGTTTTATATATTTTCAAAACAGTAACAATAGTGACAACAACAGCAAGATGAACAATGACAACAACTGCAGCACCATAACATAAGTTCAGTTCACTTCCTAGGGTGATGTAAGGAAAACTGGGACAAGAGAGTCTTTTTGAAAACAGTGAATTTAAACTGGTAGAGATAGATTTGAATGAGTTCTGGTTAGTCTAGTTATGTGCATGTGGGCAAAGAAAATGGTGCTCAAAGCTGGGAGAAATGGGATGTGTATGGGATATGTTTGGAGTACAATGTATTGTGCACAGGATGTGTAAATGGTAGAACCATGCTGTACTGAGATGATCACAAAATTGAGCATGAGATGTGTTTGGGATATGTAAGGGATGTGTCAGGGATGTGTTTGGGATGTGTAAAGTATGTGTTACGGATGTGTAGGGGATGTGTTTGGGATGTGTCAGGGATGTGTTTGGAATGTGTAGGGAATGTGTTTGGGATGTGTAAGGTATGTGTTATGGATGTGTAGGGGATGTGTTTGGAATGTGTAGGGGATGTGTTTGGGACGTGTAGGGGTGTGTTTGGGATGTGTAGGGGATGTGTTTGGAATGTGTAGGGGATGTGTGTTGGGATGTGTAAGGTATGTGTTACGGATGTGTCAGGGATGCGTTTGGAATGTGTTGGGGACGTGTAGGGGATGTGTTTGGGATGTGTAGGGGATGTGTATATGGAATGGGTATTGAATGTATGTGAGATACATATGGGGTCTGTATGAGATGTGTTCAGGAAATGTTTAGGATGACATGGGATGTGTATAAAAATGAGAATAAGATTCATATGAAATGTAAATGATTCTGAATGATTAAAAATATTTGTGCCCCCATCGGCATAATGTCAGATCTGTAATGGAGGGGACCAGCCTGGGCTGAATGGGATACAACATCCCAGAAAGAGCTAGAAAAAATAAATTTCCCAGTCATAAATCAGAATTTGCACGACACTACGAACGGGCCTAACCATCAAAACCCAGATGCTGGTAATGTGTTGGAATATGATTTTTGAGTTAAAAGACTAAATTTGTAAGTGACAACATTATTCAAACTCAACATTTTATCTGAAAACAAAAGATACCTCAGATCTCCTCCTTCCCGACCTTGACCATTTTTAAAGTTATTATGACTGCGCAGAACAAAAAATAAGGAAGTTATTTCTCAAAGTAACAATTTATGATAATTTTTTGTAAGTTTTATGTCGCTTGAGTCACAATAAGGCACAGATGATTAGAGGTTTTACAAGAAAGTAACAAACACAAAAAAGAAGGAGGAGATATAAGGTTCGTAGATGTTTGATAGGAAAGAAGGAGCAACCAGAGCACCCTAGAGCTCTATGGTTCTGTTTGCCAGATAAGCTGTAAGGATAGAAGCCCATAGAGAGTTCCAGGTTCATACTCTGTAAATCTCAACAAATTTCAATGTTGAATTGTGTCTCAGAACAACTTCTTACTTTGGTAAGTAGTATCATTTTTACATTCTATGAACCGAGGTGTCAGTACCTGAATTTTTGCACAGAGTTGCCAGAGCCTGGTTTGTGAAAACTGGGTGAGTACTCCGGTACCTGGTAGCTTTTATCTCCTGGAGATGCTTCTGTGAGGGAGTTCCGTTTATCAATCTCTTCCTCTGAAAGTAAATGGGGCATCTGATTTGTTGGAAATATTAGTTCAATTTGATTTATATGAGCAGACAGGTTGAGACCCAGCATTAGAAAAATACTAAATGGCTTTTGCTAGGTTAAACTACCTGTGGTAAAAACAAGCCCATCAATGAAGTTTTTAATGAAGATTCAATGGCAAATGGAAGAGCCATGCTGTACTGAGATGATCACAAAATTGTAAAAAAATGAGCTGTGCCTGTACTTATCTTAGTTGACATATCTCCAACTACTGATCCAGATCTTACATCGTCACTGTGTTGGAAAAATGGCATAACTTCGAGTTGTGAAAAAATGCAACTAGCCTTTTATTTTGTTTGGTGGTACTATACAAATATCTATTTTTTGGTCAAACAAAAATGTGCTGGCAGTCACAAAAGAAACATATGAGGCAAGTTTTACCATTATTCTATTAGATGATATAGAACAGTTAAACATTTTTTTCTCCCTTTATCTAAAAAGTAGCAAATATGAGATGTACCATTTTGTTAGCGCAGTAACGATATAAAAGGATCTTCAAAAAGTATGCCGCTGATTTTGTCTGAACAGTCAAACCAGCAGGTAAAGGTTTGATATATCCAAACACACACACACAAACACACACACACACACACACACACACACACATACACACACACATTCATATACACACGCACACATACACACACATATACATACAAAACAAAAAAACGCTTTACCATTCCTCCCTTTTCCAAACATCATGCTGTGGTTTATTTCATCAACTGAGGTTGCTGTTGCCTTGTGAACTCCTTCAAACATGCAGCGAAGACCAACTTTAGTAAGTCCTGGATCTAACAGCCACTCATTGTTTGATCTCTTGTATGTGACTGAAAACCCCACCCAAACAAAACAAGGAATAATATGTCATTTCAGTAAACTCATTAATTAAGAGAAAGTTCATAGAATTATGTAAAATGTGTAAATATAAAAGAATCAATAAAACATGAATGAAGTATCCCCAGAAATCAAAGATCATGAAAACAGTGTATTTCACATTTTTGGGGGAAAAATGCACTTTTTACAATTAATACCCTGGATCGATAACAACAACAACAACAATTAATACCCCATAAAAATAATGAAAGAACATGAAAAAGAAAGCAGGAGACCCCCAGATACTTATGATACTCTGATGCCTGAACTATATAAAGCTGGTAGCAGTAATATGTAAAAAAGTGAAATAAAAGGCACACAGTGTATTTACATGGGTAAGGTCGCATGCTCCGCCAGTTGTTGGGCCATATTTCTGCCGCAGGATACTCAGGATTCTCAGGATGAGGGATGTATTTGAGTCGTGAGCTCCAGTCTGGCCCAGCTCTGGTGGACACAGATTGTCAAATTATCAGGTGAAAATGGTTCTATTCATCTGAATAGTTAAGTAAGACTTTACGTGTAAAGCAAAAGCAGCAATACAAATCAAAGGTTGATTGTTTTCAGACATGTCATATTTTGTTTATGGCATGCAAGTAAAGTGTGTAAATCAGTCACAGATGAGACAATTACATAGATAATCCAAATAATTGATTTTCTCAAAGGCATACAAAATACTCTTCTAAAAAAGTTTCTTTGTTTAAGGGGAGACGTACACTCCCGGAAAAATTTTCTAAACGAATGACTTTTATTCAATTTAAAGTAATTGTGCAAGAAGTTCATAGGTAAATAGGATGTACTAGGGGTGAATTTGTTGAATTTTTCTAAAAAAATGGGTCTCTGTGGTGGCCATCTTGGATTTTCAAACCAGTTTCTTAGTGCAGAAGAATTTAATAGTAAATATTGAATTATCAGCCTGAAATTTGGCACACAAGTACAAACCTATATGAACTGGGGATCTATGAAAGGATTTTGACCTATCTTTAAAATTAAAAAAGTGAGCCCAAAGTCAGTGGACCCCCTAGAGTCAGTTGACGAAATTTTGGGGTACCTATTACAAAAAAATTGAATATTTCCTTAAGTTACCAATATTTCCCAATTCCCTTTCATAGATCCCTAGAATTGATCTTAAAGCACCTGTACACCAAATTTGAAGCTTCTAGCTTCTGTAGTTTTTGAAAACTCCTTGCACCCAGGAGGTCACATATGTCAAAAAGTAGATTTTGAGAAAAACAGAAAAAACAGGGATTTTTAAAAGGATTTTTAAAGCAATTTGCACTTTTCAAACACTCTTTTAGGTCATTTAGGGTGTTTTTTCAACAGTTTCTTCATTTTGACTCGATAGAACAGATGTCAAAGGATGTTTTTCCGCAAAAAACAAAAGTTGAATAGTTTGAAAAATTGTATCGATATTGCCTTGGATCGCCGACCCGGGTCTTCCCTTAAGACAGTCCAAACTGAATCACTGGATAGAGAGGTAAGTACAGAGTAAAGTCAACGGAGTAATAAAGACTCCTTCTTATTGGCAATGTTCTCCCATGAGAGTGAAACCAACAAGTGTGATGTATTCTGAAAAAAAAAACTGCCTAAAAATCCCATGAATTAACACTTTGGCATGCACTGTTTTCTGAAAGGAAACTGGAAAGCCATCAGCCTGCAGTGTTTTGCAGAGCTATGTGTGAACATGCAAATCTGTGAAATAGTATGTGATTGGTTGGGTCATAGTTTCAAATAAATTGCTGTTTTTACATTGATTTCTGTCTCTCTTAATCTTCATTTGTATGATGAAAATCTGGTGCAGACTGATAACTTAAATTAGATAGTGTTAAAGTAGAAAATCAATTTTTTAAAATCAGTTTGGAAAAAAAACCCAACAGCTTCTGGACAAAGCTTCCAAAACACACCGACCATTTTTCAAACCAGCATCATGTTATAAAACAGTCAAATTAATTGCATTTAGGGTTTACTCTAATACTTGTTGGGAAAATGTTCAAAAATATGTGTTTAGATGAAGTGGAATCAGGTGCGCATCAATTTTTGGGCTTGTGGAGTTATTAGTATCTTAAAACTTGTTCATTTGTCTTGCTATTGATGACAACCCCCCCCCCCCCCCCCCCCCATCTATCTTGTATAGAAAATGAAATATTTGCGATTGAAGAAGGTTGGAGTCACCTAGTGTAAGAGTCAAAATTAGCAAGAAAATGGCTGTCAAAGTTTGGCGACTTCCAATAGCACAATTCTTCACATATGTGATTTCATGTCAAACTGGATAATGCTCAAAACAGACAACAATCAGCCATGTTAGGCTCCAGTGCACAAGATGTGCAACATATTAGGCATTACTCGGGCTAGAAATAGTTTCAAATCAAGAAAAGTGCCAAAAATGTTCAATTTCAATAGAGACAAGAGGAGCTGTTAAGTTACAAGAGTGTTGAGTATAAATGAAATAGAAGCTGTTCTTTCCTCATCTCTAAATATCCCCTCTCACCTATGTCACCATTTTTCAACTTAAATATCTTGAGAGACAGAACGGAGAAATAAAAAGCAAAAGATATAACATGAGACTTCTAGCACCCAAATAAAACCTGTAAAAGTACATACTCTGTATACTCGACATCAATACTCTGATTGTGGGGCCTCCATTCGTCTTCACGTCCGTTGTTGTGTGAAATGTATCGGCGTCCTCGAGGTTTGTATGCTGGTATAACTCCAGGTTGATTTGTCAGCTCTGGAAAATGCCTCTTTTCTCTTTCTGCAAAAACATACAGAAGAACGTACGCAAAAAATGTGTATTCAATCACACACCTACTATCACTATCTAATGGACAGTAGGCTATATCCCCTGGAAGCACTAATAAAATGAGAACTGGTGGAAAATCGCCCAAGCTGAGATCATATCTCCACAAAATTGCGCCAGCAGACAACTCAGATCCGTCCTGTCGAGCCTGCAAGGAGGAGGACGAAACTATGGACCATGTGTTCCTGAGGTGTCCCGCCAGCTATCGTGCTAGAACCCGTCTGCTGGGATATTTCAGTAACCCACTTTCAGCACTTTTTAAGGACCCCCGGGCGAGTGTTGAGTTCCTGCGTGCTGTCGGCATCGCTGACCGTTTATGAAGCCACAGCGCCAGAAGAGAGAGAGAGAGAGAAAGAGAAACACTAATAAAAATACGTAGCTAATAATTCTAGGTCATTTAAGTTTCTAATAACTTTTGATCATATGTTGTGAATGACTCTTGATGGGATAACTTTTGACCCTCAAAAGGTTATTGGACCTAAGCATGTGGCAAACAAACAAGTTCTTTTTGTAAAGCAAGTACCGTCAAACTTTGATACCAGTTGATTCTCTTGCCCATGTTTTTCTGGTTCATTCCAAGATTTAACGTGTTAGTCTACATTCAGTTGCAAATATATGATTCTATGATATAAAGATAAGATCGAAGCCTACATACTGCATTGCAGGTCAAATAACAGTATGTTAACAAAAAAATATATATGTGGCAGAATATATGTTTATTCAAGAAAGTAAGGACGGGACCCCCCCATCCCTCCCAATCTTTTTTAGGTGAGGCAAAAGTCTGAGTAGAAGTATTACTACAATTATGAAAGGCCGGCACTATTTCTCCAAACGTTCGGGAAAATAAAGCTGGGTACTATTTCTCCGAACACTCTGAAATCTCATCCTTTCTCGCAAATTTAGGATATTATATAGATCTATAATTATAGTATAAGCCTACCAAAGATTGTTTGTATACAATATGGTTCAAGCGGTCCAAAAAATGTCCTCAGTAAATATTTATATAAAGAAATGCTACAGTTCCAAACAGTTTTTTGCTACAGATATGGCGTGTTGCCTATGAAGGGTACTGCTCTTAAACGTAATGTGTTGTGTTCACTCGTGTGCTGTCTAGATCTAGATCTAGATCTACGGCGGGTTATTGATAACGACACATAGAACTGGCATCTGCGTTTGTCACTGCTGCGACCAATGTACTGACACTGGCAAAGCCCCTTAATGTGTGTGATTCCATAATTTACATGTAATATCCTGTACTTTAAAAAAAAATTACGCACATTTAGGGTTAAAACAGCCAATCTTCTTCGGACAGGTGGACACTCGCCCTTATTTTTTAATGTTTGTTGTTGTTTATGGGCTGTTCTAATTTTGATTTCTTTCTGTTGTGAAACCTTTCTTTTTCACGTTTTTACACTCTCTAAAAATCTCTAGACTAGCTCTTGAAAATTGAAATAGATATAGACCCAAAAATTTGCTCCTGTGTGTGTGTGTGTGTATGTATGTGCATGTGTGAGTGTGTCTGTGTGTGGTAGTAAGTGGAGAGTGAGGAGTGTGTGTGTGTGTGTGTGTGTGTGTTTGTTTGTTTTTCGGGCTTTATTCAGTAACAGTTCAAAGTATACAAAATAGAAACACAGGATCCATTCACTCCAGGGCTCATGAGTCATTCGTCTCTTTCAGTTTCACTCATTCATTCAATTCCCGTGTTCTCTCCCGCGGCTCATCCCTGTCCGCATGACTTTCATACCCCACCCCCTCCCTCCAGGCACACACAAAGAAAATCTCACTCATTCCCTTGCACCCTGCGAACCATGGACAATAATATAGGCAAAACACTGCCTGAGCTGCATTCCTTTCTTTCGTGAGCTGTGGACCAGGCCAGGGGGGTCAGTGTCGTCGTCTTGTAGTTGCTGTCGCCTGTGGATACACTCGCACATTCTTCCTTTCACCCGCTCTTTCACTCACACTGTCTCTCCATCCACAGCTCAGTTTGTCATATGTTCAAAAGTTGCCCACTGGTCATGTTTAGTTAGTGTGTGTACATGTGCATGATGGTGGTGTGTGTGTGGTGGGTGTTACTGAAGGTTGTCTGTAGGCGGGCTTGCCATGCGGTGTTCCTTCCCAGATCAGAGGCCGAATGAAAGTTGGCGCCGAACTCTCGCAATAAATAGGCAAAAAATCACGAGACCGGAAGCCGGAAACCGTTCGGAGAAATAAAGATCGGCACTATTTCTCCGAACGTTCGTAGAAATAGTCACTTCGATTATGAAAAGGTAAAGGCAGAATTATCAGAGTTCTGTCAAACCATACAGCATATTATTACATACTCACTACTATGTAACCACTGTAACTACTAACAATATATAAAATATAATACCTGCGCAGATCTGATCATCACACAAAGGAAAACCACTATCTGTGAGGCTTTCATGGCTCACTGAGGCAATAAGAAAGACCCCAAGTTAGCTTTCAGTCTTTATAACCTCGAGTAGGTGCCAAACACTGAATCCCAAGAGCTGACCATTGATCAGATCGACCCTAACGCACGTCTCAGTCTATATTATAACAGAAATTATCGTCGGTCCAGATTTGGTGACGAAAAGTTTACCTTTCTTTCCAGGTTTGCCTATCTCAGTAGTAACGTGGAGCATGGTGTAGGTCAACAGTTGAGACAAAGAAGCCCCGCTAGATAAATACGCTACTGAAAGCTCCTCTGTTCATAAATCAAGCTTGGCGTTTGTTTACACGAAGTTCCCTACTTCCTGAAAAGCGCCGCCATAACTGACGCTACTGTGGTCTCCATGGTGCGAATTTCCGGTGTAGCTATAATTAAAGTTACCCAGTCAACATGGCGTGTTCATTACATTACTCTGGGTCTACATTCAGGAGTCAAACCATAAACAGTCCTTACTGTTCTTTGGGCTGGTGATATTACTTAAGGGATTTGAGTAGTTTATACGCTTTTTCGAATACATGTAAAACTAGACGAATAGTACCGATACAACAGTAGATCTATAGAGAACCATGGTTTATAAACTATTATTGAGGCGTGCTGATGTATGATTTCCCCCCGTTTACTATAGCCGGGTCATTTTCTTCTGTCCGCGTGAAAAAAGTTCTAACTCATTATCTATGCGCCTTTAACCTATCGAGGTTTTCCTGAAAGCAGCGACCAACCATTATCCCCCCTCCCCTCAAATTATTGATTAAGTAATTAAGAAGTTTTATTATTTGGGACCTGTATAAAAACCGCCTTTTGGTACATATACGTGGTACATTCAAAGGATCACTAAAATGAATGATTTACGGTAATCTTGCCTAAAGCTTGCTCATTTTGAGACAGTGACTGTCTCTGGTGACACCACCCTGCCCCGGCATTTCAGTGTGCGCTTGGAGATTTCCTCCCTGGACTGTCTTGACATACGTGCGTCTCGTAAAGTACAGGGTGATAAAAACAACAACAACAACAACTGTAGGCCTACAACTTGTTTTGTAAATATCTTCCTCCATACTGAAGTTTTGTGTTTCAGATTTGAACATAACATTTGTAAGCCAAAAGGAATTTGTTTGAGATTCGTTTTAGGTAAGCCTATTGAATGGTTTTGCTCTATATGGCGCATTAAAAACAACAACAACAACAACAACAACAACAACAACAACAACAACAACAACCCATTTTCAACCTTGTCACCATTTTAATGGCATGACGCACCAGTTCGCATTAGGCCTACCACAAAAAGTTGCAACAATCACGCCATATTGCAAACTATGGTAGTCTAACAAGTCAACAGAAGTCTTCAGACATTATTCTTCCCAAATTTTGTTTGCCTGCTGAGATCATGGTTACGTTTAGTAAAGAGCAGAGAGCTTTTTGTATTGAACATTACCTCTCTGCAAACTCATCATCCTTGACATTTTGTAACTTCTGCCCACGGCATGGAGAAAATGCTTAGGTGCCCTTATTAAGTCCTTTGACGTAATGAGTAGAGAAATTCCATAAATTTGGATCTTTATTGAATCAGAACTAAAAATGTCTTTTAAAATGACCACTTCAGGTCGAACACTTACCATGCACAGCTCATAACGTCGCCAGGGTGCAGATTTCAGTAGTTGAGTCCCATGGGACGTCGGTCCGAAGATGATCTGCAACTAGGACGTTCCTACACCTCAACAGTCTGCATTCTATTTCTATTGGCAGATCTTAACCTACGACAGTACCATTTACATCTTCGCTAGGATGAGATGGCATGGGTCAGAGCAGGGCAATGTATTCATACACGATTCTGCGATTGTCATGAAAAGTGGGGTAATTTCCTCGATGATATTTAATTTTGGTTTAGTGCAAAGCCCATTTTTTACCCTGCGGGAAATGTTAACTCCAAAAAGGCTGTCCATTGGGCACCCCATTCCTTACAGTCTCTAGAAGCCACTTATACTGAATATGTGTACAGTGTATGTGGCTTTGTTAAACAACTCGTGGTTTAGCAGGTCCTTGTGTTTGGGCGCCATTGGACATTTTGAACGACGCGTTAAAAATGTGTCGAGTCCAAAGGGGGGCATGTAGAGCACTGCTTCTAGGAATTTCAGGAAGAAATTGTTAGTTTTTTTTAAACCTTGTAAAACAAATGAAATGTTGTTTTTAATGTCACATGGATAGAAACTTAAATGTCAAAGAAAAAATAAAGAAAAAAGTCATCCAATCTTTTCCGTACTCCCTTAACAAGAATTTTAAAAATTGGTGAACTTTGCGTTATTGGGTGCTTTTTCTTTAAACCATTTCCGTTTCCAAAATAAGTTTCTTCTTCCTGGATTTTTATTTCAAACAAATTCCTTTTGAATGAATTATGTCTGTTCCAAATTACAGCATTCTAGAACAATTTTTGGGCGAGATATTCAGAAAAAAAGTTATACAGTTTTTTTGTGGATCAACCTGTACTAACCCGCGTGTTGGAGCGTTTATTTTATAGACGTGTGTAAAAGTGTAGTGTTGATGAAAATAGGGCAACTTTTTATGTTTTAGTTGCATGACGTAAATCCTCTATTATTTCTTTTTAAGGGGGGG